ATAATCTATATATAACTACTCACAGATATTAAGTACAACAGAGAGAACTTAATGAAACTACTTTATCAGAGTCTATATGAAATGAAGCAAGCTGTAAGAATATAGTATTTTCTCATAACAGAGTATCTGACTATATTGAGATTTAAGATATTATCTTATAACAGTGAATTTCTATATCATTCTACTCATAAGATCTATCTGATATTGTATGTCAATGATTGTCAGATAATAGAATCTCAAGAACAGTAATTAGACTGAGTATTAAGAAAGATTACAAAGAGATTTAAGATAAAGAATATTGAAGAGACTAAATTATATCTTGAAATAAAGATTAAATATCAGAGAAATAGTGATCTAGCAGTTATACAGAGTCATTATATTGAAAAAATTCTCAAAGATTTCAGTATAAATAAGATAAATTCAGCTGACACTTCAATAATAGCTGATATACAACTGGAATTCTCATCTGATAGGAGAGAGAAATTGAATAATAACTTTATAGCTACAAGATATTATCAAGAATTAAAATTATTACAGTATTTAATCTCAAGCAGCAGATCAGATCTGATGTTCATGATTAACTATCTCTTATATTTTAACTTATATCTACACAAGATATGTTGAGCAGTATTGAAGCATATTCTACATTATATTAAAAAGATGAAAAACCATAGTATATTATACAGAAAGAAGATTGATGATGAGAGTTTAAGTTCTGTAATATACTGTGATTTAGACTGAGTGAGAGTAAATTCTCAATACAAATTAACTATCAGCTATATTATATTGATTAACAGGTTGCTGATTTCATGACAGTTATAAAGACAGATATCTATTATTAAATCAATTATAGAAGCTGAGTATATTACAGCTAGTAAGACAGCTTATAAAGTAATCTGATTAAATAATATGTTATATAACACTGAGTTAATGAATAATGAGAAAGTGAAAGTATACTCACATCTATAAGTTAATAATAAGAGAGTAATTGATCTAGTAAAGAGAGAATTCTTAACACAAAGATTGTATTATATTGAGATTAGATATCATATTCTTTATAATCTGATTGAAAAAGAGGAAATTATGATAAAACATATTAATTCTACAGTGAATATAGCTGACAGTCTCACCAAGTCACTGATGAAGTGTGATTCAAAGGTTGCTTGAGTCAGCGTACGATTACAGGCGTACGCCGGCTTCTTATATACTGTACACTAAATTAATTGGTGGCCGCTATGGCTCCTTTACATTTGTAAGCAAGTTCAGAAGCGGCTGCATTATTATCTAGTATTTGTATGTTCTTTCAAACTACATTCTTTCTCACCAGATTTGGTCATGCTCATATGATTATGACATATACTCTAGCTTCATGCAGATTAGTGTATCACTGATGTTCACAATTGTGTGATCTATCTCTGATTTAGCTAGTGTTCTATGTACACTCTCAAAAAGAAACTTTCACTATATTACATCACTCATTTACTAACTTTTTTCATTTTTCAATTATCTTCTTCATTATTATCATTATCAAACATTATCATCTTATTCAAGATTTCTACTCCTTCTTCTGTTCAATATCTTCTATCTGTTATTCATCTATCACATTGTACACATTTCTGATAATGACTCTCTGTTCTTATAACAAGTATTCTTATAGTGCTCATACTGAGCAGTTTGTTAGCAGTAAGTGTAACATATTGTGAAACATGATCAGGATTTATTTATCTTCTAATGATTATCAGAATATACTATTATAAATAACACATCTTCTTCATCTTCTTATATACTCTTGATTATTTTTCTTCTCAGCAGGCTTCTAATTGTGTCTTCTGACATGATTTTATATAAATGCAGATGCTGATATGTTTGTTTTTATTTATATAGAATCTTTATATATTGACAGATTCATGTTTACTAATGATAGTGAACTCAATGTTGAATCATTGATCAAGAACTTGAAGAATGTGATAATGAAGAAATTACTTATGTTATATATAACTGAGTCTTCTGTGTCTTCTCCTGCCTCTTTCTCTGCTACTCTCTCTCAATCTCTCACATCTATCTCTGTATCTGATTCTCCCGCTCCTGCTACTTCTGTTTCTATAACTTCTACTTCTGCTACTTCTACTCTCTCTGCTTCTGCTGTCTCTGCTTTTGTTATCAGCTCTTCTCATTTTAAGAAGATATTGCATAGGCTTAATAAATCATGTTTTTCAGTATGTATACTCCTGCTCTTCTTATCAATCTCTAGAATAATTTATTGTATAAAGACTGTGTATAATATGACTATCTGAAGCTCAGTTACAGACACTGATTATTATATTCATTTTAAATATTTATAATAAGATAATTATTTATTTATACTGAAGAATCATCTCTCTCTTCAACAGTATTAAGATTATAAGTCTTTCTTTTTTCATCTTCTCTTTCTAACACTGATTTTTCTATTCTTAGAAAAAATCATTATAGATTTTATTGTGCATGAAGTTATAATATTCACAGATATCAAGAAACTTTTTATAACTGTAAAGTTCAATATCATAGAGATATTCACTCTGATAAATATCATCAGAATAATTGATCTGTATCAGTCTATTCTCTGATATTTATTATCTGACTTTGTGATGCAGGCAAAGAATATCTGTGTTTTCAGAAATAGAAATATAAATATCATACTCTTTTACATCTGCAGGCATGAGACTTATATATCTTGTCTGAAATGTTATTATGAGAATGAGCTGTTCACACACTGTGTTCTGCTTTCTGTATTTCTCTATATTCTTCTCTCTCTTTCTGAGAAGTCTTGTATGTGTTGTAATTATATATACAACTCTAAGATCAGTGAGTGTTTGTTCAGTAACTATTCTCATCTCTGATTTTATGATTTTCATATACTAATAATAATTCTTAGTTGCTTCAGCATCAGAGATCATTCTAATTGAAGATGATCACACTGCTAAGACTATCTTCTTCTATTCTCAAGCTTCTCTTATTGCTTTCTCTTTCTTCTCTGCAGAGAAGATTGTGTGCACACTGAGTTATAAGTGTTTAACTCTGAGTGACTTCTGCTGTTATTTATTCAGTTCTATATCTTCTTCTTCTTTCATTTCTTCTATCTTCACTCTCTCTGCTCTGACTTCTGATTCTGCAGATCTCATACTCTTCTTCAATTTTTCTACATGTACGCATATGCATTTCTATATTGATATTCCAGTCAATCTTGCTATAAATGACATTAATATTATACACAGAGTGATAGAGAAATCAGAGACATGTATAATGTTGTTGCAAGAGCAGCTTGCAGCCCTTGAATCTCTTACAGATCTTAAGTTTTGAGATTTCCTTTATTTTTAGCATTTTTCAGATGACATGGCATTGAAAATAGATTAAATATATGATATATGAAAATGAATGAGATATGTATGATAATATTTGTCTATTCAGTGACTAGGTTCAGCAGCTTTCATCTCTTATGATTCTGTCTTATGCATTATACTGTCTCTCTTCACCTGCTCAGACTACTACAGTGAACAGCTTATTAAAACTAATCTCATCTGATCTCTGAGTGTTCTCAGAGATCAAGATGACTTGATTTCACATATTCACAGATGTTTCAGATGATTCATTCTCTGTGATCTCTGCAATTGAACTGATGTAAATAGTTGAATTTAACTCTGAGTCTCTTTTTCTTCTGTAATCTGACTCATGTACAAGTCTGCTGCTTTGAGACTGCTCTTTACTATGTTATGCTCACTGTCTGCAGTATATTATCATATAACTGACTATAGTCTTATTACTTATTAAAGTGTGATGTTTATCTAATTTCTTTATTATTTCTCATTCTTTTCTTATAATTATGAAAAGATTGAAATAAGTGAAATTATCTGATTTATAAGTATCTATGATTTCTCTTACTTTGTAAGACTTTTCAATTATAAGTCTCTTCTTTTTCAATGCTGATAATAGTGCTGTGAATAATCATAATTCACTTAAGTCTCATATCTTTATTTTTATAAGATGTGAATCATTTATTAGATTGTATAAGACTTATCTCTCTAATTCTTTCAATGTGTATATTCTCAGAGAATGTGATTTGAGTATTTTATATGACTCAAATCATCTAAATTGAAACTTCTCAGAACTCTCATTATATATGAGAACTTATATTCTCATCTTAAGACTCAATTTCTTAACTAGTGAGTCTTATATTCTTTTCAATTGAATTACTCAGTTCAGGAGTAACTTATTAGCTTTTATACATGTATGACTGATCTCTTTCAATCTTGATTCTATGTCTGTGACTGCTGTGTCTGTGACTGTTGCATTCATAACTATTATTTCTACTGTGTCTGCAACTGATGCATTTATAACTGCTATTCTCTTTCTCACTTTTTCTGAAGCATTCTTCAGAATGTGTGAATGCAATTCATACAACAGATAGAATAATGAATACTTGAAAACTGTATACTGCTGAATTCATGTGACTAATAGTGTCTGACTGAGATATTCATCTCATAATCTCATAGACTTACTCACTAGATATTTCATCAGCATGTTATCTAAGATTTCATTCAAGTGTTCTATCTTTTCATTCATTCATGAATAATATAATATTGTTCTATAATGTCTTGTCTGTAACTGACTCATGAAATGTCTCATCACTTCTTCTATGAGATTCACACTGTTATCAGTTAGAATTTCACACAGCATTTCATAGTTAATATAGATTTCATTGTGTAGAAACTTCATCACTATCTTCTCTATCATCTCTGAAACTGCTTTCACAACTGGTCAGTCAGTAGTATAGTTAATAGTAGTGATTATTCAATGATTTTTATTTGATGTTTGTGATAATATGTCTATAAGATTCATCTTTCATTGTTCAAATGATTGTATTATATATTTCATCTGATATTATACTTTCTTACATTCTAACTCTTTCTTAGATTCTTTCACAATCTGATAATTCAGGCACTTGTAAGTATACATCTGAATGTTCTCAGCCATACTTAGTCAGTACACTCTTGATTTGAGTATTCTCATGAGTTCAGAGCTTTCTAAGTGACTGAATTTCTTATGCATGTGAGTTATTAAGTCATATCTAAATAAATGTTCTAGATAGAGAGCTTCTACATATTCTAGATCACAGTAAAGCATAACATTATTTTTCAATTTTCTCAGCTTGAAGTTTAGAAGCATCTCTTCTACTACTTTCATAAGATACTTGTTATTTATTATCTTATCATTCTTTAAGTAAGAGATTATTGTATTCACTCATTCTGATTTCTTGTATCTTCTCAGTGTATTTAATATAAACTTTTCTTATATCTGATTTATAGAATTCTCACTCATGAAATCAGGTCTATAACTGATTACATCAGATATCACAGTATTTAATCTCTTTCAGTATTTGATATTAAGATTGTACACTTGAAACTCTAAGATTCAACATGCTAAGTATTTGAAAGATTTCATTGTTAATTGTAGATAGATAAGACTTTTATAATCTGTAATCATCATTGTTGTATGTCTATTATCAATATATCTATTTCACAATATCAGTACATGCTTGATCACTAGCAATTCCTTTTCATATACTGAATAATTGAGCTCAGTGTCTGATAGTTTTCTATCATCATATATTATCAGATGTAGCTTGCTGTTCTTACTCATCTGTAGAAAAGTGTCTCTGATAGCTCATTTGAATGTGTCTATTTTAATGTAGAAAGATTTATCATGATCTGATTGAATAAGTACTGAGAATGTTATTATACATTCTCTCAGTGTGAGAAAAGTCTTCTTGCATATAGTATTTCAGATAATTGAATAAAACTTCTTCTTTTACAGATTTACATTCATTTCTCTTAAGAGATCTGAAAGTGATGTAGATATTCATATGAAATTCTTGATGAATCTGCAGTAATATGAGATCAACTCAAGAAACTGTTGTACATAATGTATATTTCTCAGTCATGATTAATTTACTATGATATTCAATTTCTCTGAGATAAGATGTATACAGTCACTACTCACTACATATTCTATAAACTCTAACTCTTTCATTTCAAACATACACTTTATTGATTTAGTGTAGAGCTTATACTCTGTCAGAGTTATAAGTACTTCATTAAGATACTTCAGATATTCATTGTATGAGTTTGAAAAGACTAGAATATTATCAAGATATATAAGATATGAGGTTTCATTTTATTTATAAAGAATTGTATTTATTATTATTTAAAAGATGATAGATGCATTTATCAGACTGAATAATATTATCAGAAATTCAAACTTCTCTCATTATATATTAAACACAGTTTATAAAACTGATAGTTTGTCTACACAGATCTGTCAGCATTCTGAGAGAAGATTGATCTTTGATAGATATCAGATATTTTCAACTGTATTCAACTGTTATTGAATCTGTGACAGTGAATATTTATTCTTGATTATAAACTTATTAAGTGCTTGATAATTGATACACATTCATCACTTCTTATTCATCTTTTTCACAAATAGAACTGAAAAGTCTCATGTGCTTGATAAGAGTTATATGAGACTATATTCTAGAAGATCTGTGATCTGACACTTCTGTTCTTCAAGATGTGTTTGTGACAGAGAATACATATTCTGATTGACTGGTTTCACATCTCTCATGTCAATCTCATATATGAATTCTTATT